TTTTTGAGGGGGGGGGGGGCCTCGCGAACGTTTTGCCCAGGGGCCCACACAACCCATAATCCTTCCCTGCCCATGCCCTGCATTCTCAGCTGTAAAGTGATGTCGGAGTCTGTGGCTGCACCCCTTCAGAGTTCTGTGACCAGCTTGGCTGAGTTGCCGTCCTTCATATCTGTCTCCTCTTCATTCCCTTTGGGGTCTCAGCTGTGATGGAGGGGCTTTCAAGACTAAGCATATGTTGTGTGACATCCTTAATGACCCTCCTGCCTCTTCCTCCAGTAGATGGTCAGTTATCAGACAGGGACCTTGAAGACCTTTCTGACTATACTCCTGACAAGGGCAAAGGTAAGGATCTCAGTTGAAAATATTGGATTATTGTGTATGTGAATTATGACCATTATTATTATAGCTTATGCAGTTTAGCAGAGTTCAGTCATTCGAACAAATTCAGTAAGACATTTATTGTGTTTAAGGAGGAAGAGGAGACTCAGATAACAACTATGGTAAGCCATAAAAAAAAACAAAAAACATCTAAATATTCTGTGTGCTGTGAGAATGGATGGCTGTATTTCACAGGCTTAAAGTAGCACTGATGCTCTGAATATTTATTATTAATGCATTTAATGCATAAACAGATGGTCTGTAGATCATTCAGCAGAGACTATTTGACTCTTATCGAGCTTGGATAGCAGCATAAAGTGACCGTAAGATAATCGTGCCATTACATCAATGCCAGATGGTTATAACCTTTGAAGTCCCCTCCATGTAATTTTCGTCAGATACTCTGGCAGAGACCGGCACCATTGCAGGCATTGCCAGCGCAGTCGGTATGGCGTTGATCGGCGCGGTGACCAGCTACATCAGCTATCAGAAGAAGAAACTCTGTTTCGGTATACAACGTAAGACCCGAGCCATCACATTTTGATTAATATCTTAAGACGTTACAAGACGATCGAATACTAAATCAGGATTACAAAAAAATAGCTGATGGCAGTTACCATGGAGATGTTTCAGCGGTGTTTAACTCCTGTCCAACACAGAGAGCCTGAATGCAGAAATGATGAAAGAAGAGAACCCTGAAGCCGTAGTGTCCCAGGAGCCCCAAGGTAACAATTTTATTGTTACAGTAATATTAATATTAATATTAGTTTTCCTTCAATTCTCTCCCCACCCCCTTAAAGGACCCCCTTTTCTATTCTTATACAGCCCTGTCTTTATGATTGCACATCTATCAAAGCTTCCGATAGCATTGCACTCAACTCAGTTGGGTGACTCATTTAAAAAGCAACTAAAGACTTTTTTTGTTTAGGCAGGTGTTTAAATAGAGCTGAGTAGTATTCTGCTTTATTATTACTATTAGTAGTAGTGTTCTTGTTATTTATTTTTTTCCTTGTGTTTTATTTTGATCGCACTTTTCAGTGTTTTAGTGCTGTACAGCGCTTCGCGACCACTTCATAATTTTTTTTTTACTTACTGACTATTAAAATATTCTATGCTGATCGAAACGCTTGCACTGATGGTAATGGTTACTCTTTTCCCTTTCAGTCCAGGCGACGTTACTGCAACACCCGAATGCAGAGACTCCACAGGATTAAAAAAGATTGTACCCAGTCCAGCGCCCTCATTTTACATCTAAATTAAGCGACATACACATCCCCTCCACCCTCACCCAATACTGTACAGATCCTTCCATCTGCCTGCACAAACCAGACTGTACATAATCCTCTATGTCTTTGTTTAATAACCACAGTACACCTGTTTATACATTTATAAAGAGAATACTGCACATTTTGTTTGACAACTGATGCTTTGCTTGAAGTGCTCCTGCTTTTTTAAGACGCTTCTGTTTCGCACTGTAAAGAGTCTGTCCAATTAGACAATCGCAAGACTTATAATCGCCTTTGCAGGAGTCATAATGGTGGTACAACCAAGCCATGCGACTGTTTCGTATTTGTTACAGTGGGCTTGCAGATAAACTCCCCATCATTTTGTCGCACGTCATTAATGCTCTCATCTTCATCTCCGATTCAGTCTGGGGCAAGCTTGCAGATTTGTGTGAGCTGTTCATTGCTTAGGGATTTGGGAGGACCCAACAGTCACTTCCTCACGGTTTCAAAGTACAAAGTAACAAAAATGTTTGAAAATGTGAGTGGTAGTTTTGGTACTCTTCACTGTGACTTATTTATTGTTACTTCTTTATTTCACAGTATGTTATTGTTTTTTATTCCATATTAGACTTGCAAGTATGTGTCACTGCTCATGTAGAGATATACACCGTGATGTTTGTTGACTGATCATTTGTTGTTTTGCATATTAAATATGAAGGTGGGGTAGTAAACCGTAATCAGTCGTGGTAACTGTTAGACAATTACTTTTTTTACTTTGCAATGAGACAAAGTTGAAGTGATATCATTATTCTTTACTGAGTGTCATGTGTAATTGTTTAGCTTTCATTGATACAGTATTAGGTATTTAGCCTACAAAAAAATTAAGTGAACCAGTTGTTAGTTTAGTTGTTTGAGATGATTACTTCTATGTGGGAATGTAGGTAAGGTGAAACTTCTTTCTACTGATGGACGTGGTTGTTTAGTCTCCTGTTCTGTTCACTGATTACGATAGCGCGGCTGCAGCTTGTGTAAGGGTATACAGCTAGATTTGACCACTTTTGTTATCTCCTGTACCCCATCCCCCAAATGACATGTGACTGTTTTTGTCTATTTCTGCATTACTAGCTGTTAATTACCTTACTGGATGCAGTGCTGGATGTAGCTAAACACTGATACCAAAGAAGTGGGCCAGAGCGCTGTGTCAGTGTGAGATATTGCTTGTGCTGAACGTTCCATGCTGGGAAACGGTTGCCAAGGAGGGATAGTGTGTCTGTGAGTGAGTAGAAAAGGAATTTTAACTTGAACTTGAAGTTTGTGCATGCCTTTAGTAGTTGAGCGTATGGAAGCAGTGCCGTGTTTTTTCACATTTCACTCAGAGTTGGTAAACAAAAAAGTCATCCCTTCCAGTTCCTTTCACTGCCATCCATTCACATTTGTCTGTGATGCATGCTCTTTGCTGGTCACCCAGTCAGTTCATTTCCACAGCAATAATCAGGAGCAGTAAACAAATATGGGAAGTGAGGTTGAGACAGCTCAACATCTGCCTTAATGCTGTGTACGTAGAGCCTGTTCTGCTGCCACCAGACCCTGCCTTCCGCAGAAAAAGGGTGCTCGAGTCTCCGAACCGTTTTACCCCTCACCCTAAGAACCATCTTAGCAGCAACGACCTGAGTTAAACAGCGGCCTTCTGAAGCTTAAATTCAGCAGCTTTCTATCAAAAGGGGTGGGTAATGTGTGAACTTTGCACTTTATCAACTGACTGCTATTCCTGATTGCTCAATGTCTGTACTAACCTGACAAATATCTTTCACTGACTTGGAGACAATTTAAGTGAATAAAATAAAATCGCCAAATTGTGAACTTGGTCTCTTAATTTATTTCAGTTTCTTCAAGGTGGGTAGGTCGGTGAGTTTAAAGTCAGTGCCTGTATCTAGAAGGTTGTGGGTGTTGAATGCCATGACTGGCAGAGCAAGCATATCACCAAAGGGCCACTGAGCAAGGCCCTCGAACCCAAGCATTCCAGAGGTGCCGTCTGGTCCTGCTCTCTGACCACAAACTTTCCTCACTTGCATCTCAGTAACACTAATATTTATGCAGTTGACAGTAGATTTTGATCACCCATGATTAATAACTATGAATATGTTAAACAGTTTATAAGCTGGTTGAAAATTAAATATGCAATGACATTCTTAGTCACCACTCTTCAATTTGATTAAACACTTACATACGGATGGCATGGTGGTGCAGTGGTTAGCACTGTTGCCTCACACCTCTGGAATGTGGTTTTGAGTCTCTGCGAATGCTCCATTTGTATGGAGTCTGCATGTTCTCCCTGTGTCATAGTGGTGTTATCTCTGGGTGTGAGTGTGCCTTGTGATGGGTTGGTGCCCCATCCTGGATTACCTCCAACCCCCATGACCCTGAATCGGATAAGCGGTTACAGAAGATGGATGGAAACCTTTACATATCTCAGATTATGTTTGTGAATCCTGTTCTTTTTGTTTCTATACTGCTGGGCTCGTTTCCCTCCAGTGACCCATAGATGACGACAGGAATGACTTCCCTAGTGTCTCAGGCTTAACAATTAAATACAGTTTCTCATCCACGATTAACATATCCTTCACTTCTCACTCTCAGCACTTCTTGAAGGAATTTCTGGGTTTTTCTGCTTGCTTTAAGAAAAGAATTCCTTATGTTTTTGGTCTAAAATATCCACTGTATGACTATAGTATCGGTACATAGTGTGCAGTGTGAGGAAGGGTGGCTGTCTGCAGTGGCTCTCATTCATTAAAATGGCTTCTGTAAAGTACAGATAGAACCCAATTCTAGAGATGTCAACAATATTCATGCCATGATACTGTGCACATGCAAGCAAGATCAGGCCCGAAAACTGGTGCATGACTCCAGCTAGATATTTTCTTTTTGTCTGCAACCTACTCTGGAAGAACAAAATCAGTATTTTTAAATAGCAGACTAAGTTCGTTTTTTAAAAAAAAAATTAAGATAAACTTGATCCCTGCTTCCAGTCTGCATGTGGGCCCGTGTTCGGAAAAAAAGTTTAGCGGCAGTTCAAGCGAATGGTTCTTTTGTGAAGTTTCATCATTATCAGTGCATCTCATATCATTCCTCAATAGTGCTTAGGACAGCCCTGCTCTTACTCATTAATAAAACAGTGTGGGTACAGTGGCCGTCCTATCCAGCACTGCGATTCAGATGCATCAAAGATTGATAGTAGCTCAATTTTAATATAACAGCATCTTTGAACTTCATTCCATGTTAAATTTAAAGACGTCTCAGTGTGCAGAGTCTGTGAGAACGTCTATCCAGGAGCCACCTTCTTCACATCAGACTACAGCAGATGCCGACATCAGGTGTGATTTTCATCCTGTTCCTTACAAATAATAATAATTTTTTCAATTCAAAATGTTTTGTTTTTTTGTTTGACAAGAAGTCCTTGCCTTATTTTTTATTTCACTATTATTTTTTAATGTGTTGTAGCATTAAAACACAGATAATGGACAAATGTTCGGCATGCCCTCTGCTCTGGCTATTCTCGTTCCTGGCATTGAGAGGTAGGAATTTCTCCCACCTTGTTCATGGGTTACTAACAGATTTACTTCTATTTCTGTAATGTAAAATTATTTTACATATTTACTTGCATTGGCACCACAGAGAAACAGCAACTGAATTATAGAATTCTTTAATAGACTGAGAAAACAACTAGATTTCTGACCACAGACATCTAGTACGCATCTGGTGCTGTATTGTTGGACTAATCCGCATCTAACTGGATCCAGGCATCAAGAATTACTCTAGAGATTTCAAAAAAGTAACATGTATCTTAAATCCTGAAGATTTAATATTGCCACAATATTAATTCCTTCATATTGATTTAACATCATAAGAAATTTTGTATATGCAGGTTTTCCTTCAAAATATAAAGAGAAAAAATTACAAGTACCTTTCAAACTGAAGAAAAATGGTTAAAAATATTTCATTAATATTACCTGGGTGAATGTGAGTAATCATAACTGAAGCAGTATGATGTTGTAAGCACATTATCTCCAGATTTCCAGAAAGTCCAAGCAGTGGGTGTGTCTGAATGTCAAACACCAACAGAGAAGTGAGCAACATTAATGTTTCAGTGGTGGTGGAGGATTCTTAAGCAGAGTGAGTAACTGTAGCCACTTGACGTGTCTTCGAGACACACCCACCCAGGGCTGCGCAACATGGAAAACAAAATCATGTTGCAAAATTCTTTCCCCAGAAGAGATACTGCTTGCGATATAAACAAATCTGTTGTTATGTACATACTGAAAAACTGCACGTTCCGGAATGTATATGCTTAAAAAAAAACAGCCTGTCAGAAAAAAAAACTGTTTTCACACTTGAGCAAAGATGGCACAGTTTTTCCATATGTGCTATAAACTTATTGGTCTGATTGGTGATAAAATAGTAAGTTCTTAGTAGTTTTCATTGCTGAAGAAGCTCATCGACGTCTTTTTGATATTCACAATGAAGGCGGTCATTGTGCTCTGTATTTTGGCACCAAACAGCATAGTTCACTACAGCTGCTGACAGATTATCAAAAAAGATGTATGACCCATACAGCCACCAGCTCTCTCAGCAAGATGGATTTAGGCAAAATGTAAACTACAGAAGTTACACTGAATGATTTTTTGGTCTGCTTTTTGTGCTCCCATAGTTCAACATATGGCTGTGGATCTCAAGGAGCTGGAAAATTAGGATGAGCACAAGGCCGACAGATTCAAGCATCACCGCGTCTTCACTTATATACAAATACTACAATTAATTGTGACATCACAGAGCCATTTAAATTGTTCATCTAAAATTAATTCACTCTGCTGGTAGGTGTGTTCAGATCTGTCCTCACGTCAAGAATATCTTCACTTATTGAAGCTTGCTGCCCCTGAATGGAGTACAATCCAAAAAGCACGACATTTTCTGTCAAAGAAAAAAGCCATTGATAGAAATTTCATCTCAGGTAGTGCTGCATTAGCCAAGGAGCTGGAATTCACGAAGGGAGAACCTGGTGCTAATTGTGAAGGACTTAACCTGAATAATTTCCAAATCAAATGTCCATGCATGCAACTTATGTGGTCAGGGCAAGGAGGAGGAGCTTAACCAGGAAAACAACCAGTGATGGACTAACCTAATAATGTCTTTTTCATTGCAGCCGTACATCAGGATCTGGGCATGGCTGATGCCATTGAGGAGACCACAAAAGCACGTATGTGAGACATTGCCCATCATCATGGGACTTGACTGATGGAGTGAACTAGTGGAAAAGAAGCAATACAAGGCTTTGCAATAAACACAAATACATACAACAGACCTTCACCAATGCATATTAATAACAGTATTTTAATTAAATGAATTCTAATTTTATTGATATTGGGTTAGTGGCTGCAAAATCTAGCAGCAGAGGAAGGAGAAAGGACTTAATTTTTGCAAAAACTCTGCTTTCCCGCAGAAATGGATGACTCCAGATTCGCCAGTCCTGATGAGAAGTTAATCAATAAGCTTCTATCACAGGTCACAATTACAACTACAGTACCAGGCAAGCCCAGTACTAATCCAGGTAGGAGGAACAACCAAGGTCCACAGATATGGGCAAAGCCCAAGAATAACTGTTTATAGAGAGCAAGCTAACCTTCTAATGTATCAGGCCTGCTTTGATTGAGGTCCGTTATCAATTACTATTCTGGGTCCGGATTCATTCACAATGAATTGGAGCAACTTCCAATATTCATCAGAGTTTTACGTCAAAACAAAAGCAATTCCGCAGCCACCAGGAACCATACTGATGAGAGGTGAGGTACGGAGTTCCACTCTCCATTATAATAGCAAAATTTTCTGAACCTGGGGTAATGGAAGAGCCAACAACCCAAAGATAGTTGAGCTCAGTCTTAGCAGTAAGGAAGCTGTCCGACTGTGTCGGTGTGGTGACAGGAAAGCGGACCAAATTTCCCAGCTTGCCTGGTTCCGTATTCTCTCCCGCCTAGCAGGGAGTCTGTATATTAGGACAGCAGCTGCCATGCCACCACGCTGGCAGAACACCTCCACCCTCTGCCCAGGACTGCGAGTTGCACTGTGATCGTCGCTTTTTACGCCGCATCCCTCCTGAGTTCTGTGACCTTTACAGCCATGCAGCACTGTACGGATTGTGGCTATGCTGCAAAATCAGTCAGACCCTCTTTCACGATAACCATTTCTGGCTGAGTAATTGTTCGCACTACAGCTCTTGCACAACAGCTCATCCAGCTACTTCTACAGGTGGCAAAATACCGGATGGCCATCTTGGTGACAAATCTTCTGAAAACAGTATGTATGACCTATGATTATTATTGTAGTGCTTGGCTGAATTTCTTTTAAAACACCGGTACACAATTTGAACCAGTGCAGTAAGATACTGATTCTCCCTCCATAGGAGAAAACGAAATTACACCAACAGGAGTCGACTACGGTAAGGAAGAGCAGAAGTATGTTGGTTGTAAGTCCTGGAAGGACAGATGTCCAAATTTATGCCCTGTTGCTTTTGAACAATCATGCTTAGTATCATCCAGAGGTGGGGATTTCAGGTCCATTGAGCACAAATCCAGACCAAGATTTTGTTTCAACCAACCAGTTTTTAATTTTGAATTTTTTTTTGTACAAGTAAAAATCCAGACCAAGATTTTGTTTTAACCAACCAGTTGAGTACTCTGTGACTGTCACTATTCATACTCAACTGGTTGGTTGAAACAAAATCTTGGTCTGGATTTGTACTCTCTAGTATCGTCTTGATATTGATATTCCATAAATTATTTAGCATTTGAATGTTATTGTACTTGGATAATGCCATATCAGTTGCCAACATGTTGTTGATGCAGAATAACAGCATTGTTAGAGTGACCCCATCCCCCCCCCCCATCCTCCTCCCCCTCTCTCGGACAGCCAAATTGGAGATGAACGCCATTGGAGGCATCATCAGTGCAGTCGCCTTGTCGATGATTGCTGCCTGTTGCAAGGCTTTCGTAGATACGTACAAAATGACAGGTTTTGTTACTCAGATGTACACGTCCCTCAGACGAATGATAGAAAAGACGCAAGCAATTCAGCCTGCCACCACAGAGACTCTAAGCAGCCAATCAACAGACTCAGAATCACCCTCTTCAAATGTTTGATGTTCCCACTTTGATCTATAGTAAGATTGCATCTGAAGATGAGGTTTGAGAAGTTCAAAAAGGAACAGTTCAAAAAAAGTGCAGCAAATGTGTGAATTTTGGTTCTGGTATCTGTTATTGTGTATTACTTGTTTGTACCATATTTTTAATGTACAGTTCATTAATTTATAGCTTTATTTCAGTATTGCCAGCACACACAGACAGGTGATTTTCTACATTTAGATGATGTTCATATTTTTAGTAAATCAAATGAGTTATATAAGCTGGATGTTTTACTGGAGCACTTCATTGCTTTGATCAAAGCAGGGATATTCTTGAACTGTCTACGTCAGTGCTACCTACTGCCATCTATGGGTCACACTGCACACTGCAGCCTGAGAGCTGTTGCTGATTGGAGGGGCAGTGCCTGTAATGGCAAACAATAGGTCCGTAATGGCTAAATGACTCAGTTGTGAAATACTAGTTATGCCTAGGAATAATGTAGCTTAGTTTTGAACCAGAACTCTTTTTTTGTTGGATTAGCACTTGTTTTGTTTTTGAATAAGGTAGGAAATTAAATGTGAACTCCTGGATGAGATTAAGGGCTTCATTTGCAGCAGTATCCCAGATGTAGGTGGTACAGTTCTTAGGTTCCTGCTAACTTACCTAGAATGCTGGTGTTCTATGCGAAATGGGTGCCAAATTTTATTTTCAACTTCATATTTCATCTTCCCTTTTCATTCAAATCTGTAAATTCCACACAGTTATTAATCACTCTATGACTGAGCCAAAGCTAAAATTCATTAACATTTTCATTCAGTAAATCAATGTTTTAACGAAGTCAGTAAAATTACTTTTACTAAAAAAAATTTGCATAGTCAAAAGTAAATTTCATGTTTACTTTTTCCATCCAAAAAGATACTCAGAAAATCCAAACTAAAATAACCATCTCAAATGAATAACGTGGTAAAAAAAATATGAAGATCGCACCTGCTTACCTTGGCACTGCAAATCTGGAAAATAATGGCATCCTTGATATAGTCACATTCTCCACACATAAAATGAAGATCACAGCAATCTGCATTGCAGTATTGGAATTTTTTTTAAAAAAAAGGAAACAGGTTTTTAAGGGTTTATGGGCCTTAGAATGAATAGAGTATAGCACTGAAAAACCTCCCCCTGCCTGGGTCTCCTCGGCAACAAGAGCATCGGCGTTAAGACTTTCAATGAATCAGTCAGGACCCTGGCTAATCGGATTGAACTGTCAGAGTCGTGCACAGAGGAATCAAGGTTCAAAACCTCCATGTAATGTGTTAGACATTACAGTCTATACCAAAAGTTGTCTATGTAGACAATTAATTTCCAGATCCAAAACTGTGCACCTTTCCAGACTGGAGTGCTGGCATTTCATAGATCTGGATTTTTAAATACAATAGAGTAGACCCATATCTTCATGCTAAAAGAGTGAGATTATCATTTACAAGCCAACCAAATTTGATAGCATTTAAACTACTGATTGCCTGAACATATACAATGTAACACCTGGATTCAGTGGCATTTAGGAAAGCTGATATTTCCATTACATTTTTTTTTTTATAAATGTGTTACAATCAAATGTTTAATAAAATAAGGAGACAGCAGTAAAGAGCAGTAAAAACACATAAGGTCCATTGCCATTATAAAGAAAACCAATAATCACATTAATAATGATCATGAAAAAAAGACTCATTACATATGGAATGTTTAAATTAATTTAATTAACATTAATAAAAAGACACTGTATAGCCACTGTAAAAATGCTTCCTAAAGTGTAAGGTTACAAAATAATTTCTAAAAAAGGAAGAAAAACATTTCCCTTTAAATCCATGGGATCTGAATTACTGTGCTTAAGCAAAGTAAAACTTACAAGGTTCCCTGAACAGACTTTCCTTACACCAAAAATCAAATGCAAACCTCCCTACACTAAAACCTTACAAAGTGCCAACAAACACCAAAAATATACATATAAAAATAAAAGCATAGAAAACAGAAATGGCTACTTCAGTCCATTTCACAAGGCATAAAAATTCATTTAAAAATTCTTTGTTAAAGAATGTACACTTTACAAACAAAACTTCCAATAGCAAAAATATGCTTCGAAGTAAAGATATTACTTAACTATTCAAAATAAATGTATATTTTACACAAATAGCTATGAAAGCTTGTCTTCTGTTCATGAGCCTTCTTCAAACGCGGAGAGTGCATTGTCATTGTGGGGCTTCTGCATATCTGTATGAGTACCTTTCTCTCGCCCTGGCATCATCCAAATCCAGTCCTGAACATAACTCAAGGTACTGGAACGGGCTTTGGGGTTGATACTACTTGCACAGCTACGCACCCAAACCAGTTTCATAAGTGGCCGCATCTAACAGACATTAGACGCATACAACAAATAGGTAACTCTTCTGCTGAGGACAGGATATTCGCCTGTGGAGCAGCTCAGACATTTAAGGCACTGAGGGAGAATTAATCATTTATCCTGGCTCTTCTTCTGGAAGCACAGTGGCCTCAAGCAGCTCAGAAGCCTACCCTAACTCTCACCAGACACCAAGACAACTTCTCAGCATTCCCCCAGTCACTGCTAAGTAAAAGATGAAACTTGACATCAAACTCTAAGATTACACACCCCTTCCACAGAGCTATGTAGACTCTGTGCCCAGGAAATGCTTCTGGCGAGGGGAAGGTAGCTGTCCTCGGCAGGAAATAGAATAGAGATTCCCTTTAGAGAGCTGTGGCACTGGATTAAAACAAGTATAAAAACTCAGTTATCAACAAGAGACAGTTGGCACAGACCAGTGTAACCTATTTCTACACTTTGACTGCTACCAGCCCTGGTTCCTCAGTGATTGCTCCAGTTACAGTAACTTGATTAAAATGAATACACTGCTTTAAGGCCACACACGGGCTTCAGGACAAAATACCCTGAATTTGACCTGTGGATTAGCTAGCTTTCCTGACGGCCGGTCGCACAGCATGCTCAAAACCAAGGAGTGCAAGGATGAGAAGAGGCTTTATGAAAAGCAAAACTTGAGTACCAAGATAAAATAACGATGGTTTTTATTTTCCCCTACAAGCTTATGCATTTAGAAAAAACACACTGCCAAGCTTCTTTGTGGTAGCTAAATCATTGCAAAGTTCAGCACTGCTACGTACTAGATTTCCCTCAACTATTCAGCGTTGATCATCGTAATAATGTACTTAATTATGACAGTTATTGCTATGTACAAATCTCTGCCTGGTGAACGACATGAAATCACATTGAGGTTCTCAAGTGTGTAACCAGCTGTGTGGGTGAGGCAGAGCTGTTGGTCAGGTGTGTGGGCGGGGCAGAGCTGTTGGAAAGGTGAACAGCAGTGTCAGACAGTTGCAACTCCTCCAGCTTTTTCAGATACTGGGCCTTGAGTGCCAGCAGCTCACTGTAGCGCTGCTCCATTGGATTTGGATGCTGTCACCAGGGGGAGACAGAGACATGCAAATGAGAATACATCAAAAAGTTTTGATCAATTCAGATCTTACAGGAATTTTATAAATTTCAGCCTTATATTTCATCAGTACAGTTATATGTGATCCGACAGGGACTGGGCCAGCAGAGACTAGACCAGTTACTATATGTCCAGGTATCCGATAGCTAAAGAGGTGACCACCTAATCCATGTCAGAGGGGACACTATAAGCTATGACAGGGTTTATAAACTACCATTTCAACTAAAAAGGCCTGGATTTCACTTTAGCACCGAGTTCTGGTCAGTCTCCTATAATCATGCACAATCAAGCACAGGAACCGTTCAGTTTTAAAGTTCGGAAAACCTGAAATAGCTCATAGTGCCCCCCCCCCCCCCGCTCCGACATGGATTAGGTGGTCACCCGAGTCTCCGATGTTTTACCTGATGCCGGACCCTGGGGTTCCACCGTATGTAGTAAGTCACCCAAAGCTCTAGATGGCGCATACTGGCCACAGGGTAGAGGACACAGCCATTCTCTACAGCATAGAAGGGGTTGATGTAGGACGCCTGGTCACTGTTGATGAAGGACCACAGGGACACAGTCTTGGTTTTCACCTCCTGGGGGGCCAGAGATCCAGAACTTCAATTAGGCACCTCGTACACATGGGGAGGTTAACATGCACAACACAGATACATGCACAACACAGTGGCCAAGGATATTTCACAATATTTCATAAACCAGATATGTATAGGACATCTGTAGGAGGAGAAACGTCTCACATGGGCACTGCGGGCACTGTCGCAGTTGAAGAGAAAGGTGCCAAAGCGACAGCTATAGAGGTGATCCAGAATAACCATTAGGAGGCGCTCGTTGAACTCAAAGGCTGTGGGGAACTGCAAAAAATATGGACGGGGAAGGAAAAACAACTTAGGAGTGAGTCACAGCATACAGCACAATCGGTACTGGTTGTCATAGGGCAGGTATGACAGAGCTACTCGCACAGCACAGCACAATGCGCATCAAAGATCCGAAAACAGTAGAAAACCAATCGATATACACTTCAGCACAGGTCATCAAACACTGCGATGCCCTGTAGAGCCCGGGCTTGGGTTGTACCCACCTGCTTGGTCATCTGCCAGACACAGTCAATGAACTGCACAAAGATGGGGGAACGATCAGCGTCGGCATGGTTCTTGTCTCCATGGCCAATACGCTAAAAAAAAAGAAACAAGCAATCCCATGAGAAATGGTTCATGTCATACTTGCTAGTCCTATTCCTTATCAAAGCTTAGTGAAACAATGCTAGGAGAAGCTAGCTGCATATAGCGGTGCGTGACGGGGGCCTGGGACGTACGGAGGCAAACTTATGGCCAAAGCTGAGCCACTCCTTCTCCACGAGGACCAGGAACCCCCTCAGGGTGCGGTAGTACCCGTCCAGCATCAGCATGGCCAGGGAGGTGAGCTGTGCAGTCCGGTCCCAGCCATCGCTGCAGTGCACCAGCACAGAGTTGCCCGACCACACCTTGTCTGCCACCTGGATAGCCCCTGCCAGCACCAGCTGGGGGGGGGGGGGGAGATCGGTGGGAGAATATGGCGTGAGCTGCTCTGTCAGTGCTGGGCTATTGTTGCTATGATCCGTCAATCTCTCTTTCATCCCAAAGAAAATCACGGAGTGTGAATGGTAGCTAGTCCGTACACTCGGCTATCCCTAGCATATACAGCCGTGCATCGTTTAACGACGTGGATACGTTCTGAGAAATGCATCGGTAGGTGATTTCGACGTTGTGAGAACATCGTAGAGTACACTTACACTCACCTAGATCCAGTCTACTACACACCTAACCTATAGTGTATAGCCTAAATAACAATAAAAAGTTTAGTAAATACATAAACCAGTAACATACTTGTTTAATATCATTATCAAGTATTATGTACGGTACATAATTGTACGTGTTGTACTTTTATACGACTGGCAGCGCAGCAGGTTTGTTTACACCAGCATCACTGCAAACACATGAGTAATGCGTTGCGCTATGACATCAGAAGGCGATAGGATTTTTTCTTAGCTACGTTGTAATCTTAAGGGACACAAACACACAGTCCGTCTCTGAACGAAATGTTGTAATGCGACGCATGACTGTAAGCGCGGTCGTTCTCTCCCAGCATGCACCTTGATGTGCTCCAGCCAGTGCGTCGATTCCAGGCTGGAGAGCCAGTGGGACTCTTCCACATTGGGATAGACAATATCCTTCAGCTTCCTCAGGGACTCCCTCATCACGTGGATGTTGTGAATGTCCAGGAATACCAGATCAGCATTCTGGTAAGAGTCCTCACCTTCATACCCGCCACCTGTGGCCTGTGCCCAACGAGATACGTTACACACAGAGTGCAGCATCATAGCCACATGGTGACAGACACTCCTGTTGTTACAGCAAAGAGTTTTACTTCCATTCTATCATATTTAAATGAAGCACAAATACAGTACAGAAAACGGCCCAAGCTGTCAAATTAGGTGCCCAATATCCATTCTCTGAGATTTACCTAGTGAGCTGTACCTCAGTTATTTCTCTTGAGAGCATTGGCCACTCTGCACCTTTTGCATGGAATATGTTGCAGAAAGACCGGAAATTAACTGAGTTAATCTCATTGAGCGCTTTTAAATCCAAACAGAGTTCTTGAGGCCGACTCCATTGCATGTATCCGTTTTTCATAATCTGATTGTAAATTTAATCCCTTTATTTTGTCTTTTGCTTGTGTTGCAACTGTGTAATTTTGTAACAGTTTTGTATTTTACTGCTGCCTATATTGGTCAGGTTTTTAAATCTCAATGGGATTTTCCTGGTTAAATAAAGGTTAAAAAATAAATAAATAAACAATTGATGGGTAATTAGTCAAATCTAGGGGCTCAAGAAATAGTTTTCAAGAAGGACAAAATACAACCTTACACGCTGTCTGACCTTACTGATCATACCTTGTTGGCCACAGCGTTGACGTTTGGCCTAGCGTCGAAGATGGTCAGCCTGCTGGTACCATTCGCCTCCCGGATGATCTCCAGGTAGCGCTCGTCATCCTTGCTCCGCTTCCCGCTCATGCCCACCAGAGGCTGGCTGCAGCGTACAATCACTGCCTGGTTCTCTGGGTGGATCCATGACAGCACCTGGGATTGCAGAGATGCATAGTGCCCATAGTTCATACTCACAGAATGTGGACACATGCACTAATGTCTGGACACACCAAGTCGCCTACAAAGCAGTGTGATAGGATGTTGCATCACATGTCCAGGTCACCTGACCTAAACACAGCAGAGATGATTTGGGAAGGGTTTGACCAGAGAGTGAGGGAAAAGCAGCCAACGAGTACTCAGAATATATATGGGAACTCCTTCAGAACAGCTGGAAAAGCATCCCAGGAGGCCACGTCATGAAACTGGTGTGGAGGAGACAGTAGGGATAGCCAGTCCCTGGAGCAATCGGCGTTAAGGGTCTTGCTAAGGTCCAATGGTGGGATCACTCTGCTGACCACAGGATTTGAACCACGACCATCTGTGTCCCAACCCACAGGGCTGCCCCCACTCCCCCCACGAAATTACTTTTTTAATACTGCTTTAGTCAGTGCATATGTTATTTTATGGTTTTGGCGACTATAATTATTCTAAAACGTAGAGAATAGCACGAACACACCTTTCTATGGGTAGGCGTGTCCAAACTTTTGACTGGCACTATACAGTAATGCACCCAGAAACATAGAGGTGACTCACCGGGATGCGGCTGCGGGAACGGAAAGCAGCCACCTTGCGCAGGTCTTCGTCGGTGGCCTTGCAGGGAACTACCAACTTAGAGGGGTACGTCTCGCACAGCTCGTTTGCGGTGATTCTCCATTTCTCATTGGGCAAACCCTGGAGGAGGCACAATGGTTTACAAGCTACGGAAAGGCCACCCCCTTATGAAACAGGTGAGTTCCAGCACAACGTGGAATGTGACTGGACGACGGGAAACAGTGATACGTGAATCATGGTCAGTACCGGGCACCCAGGGTGCTTAGGGCCATTCCCAGGATTAATTCACCCGAAAGGAGCTATATCCAAGACGAGCAAATGGACAGTAAAATCTAAATAAGATGTTCAGATGGGCTACTTGCCGAAAATTTGCTTAAAATTTGAATCGGCATTGTTCGTTGTGATTTGTTTAAAAATAATCAAAATTATTTTGCAAAAAAAAATAAAGAAAGAAAAACAGGCCAGCCTGGTATGCCCAATACCACACCTCGTATAAATGACCTGGTCCCACAGGTTTCCAAAACTGACTGTTGCACCATTCGTAAAAGGGGTAATTTCATGGAGCTTGTTATTAATGCAATTGTCCTATTCACTTCGCAAGCGGAACGGGTCACTCACCTGCCTGCTGAACTCCTGCACTGGGTCATAGATATCCCAGCCATTCTCTTCAAACTTCTCCTGGTTTAAGAACGCAAACAGACTCTGTGGAAAGAGTCACACAAGGTCATGACTGTGAAGATGGCTTGGGAGAAGGGGTGTGTATCTGACCCCACGCATCTTTCCACCAAAAAAGAAAAAAACACCGTATATTACATAATAGTTGAAGATTATAAGCCTTATATAAATTCACCTGATTCAAAACAAGTTCAGCTGAGTCTGGTGTTAGCACAGGCTGTGATATACTGGGGGCAGGATGAGAATGACCTTTTCTGGTTTTATGATCCAGAGAGAGAGAGAGAGGGAGTCTCACCTGGTTAGATGACAGGGGAAATGCATAGCGGAACAGGATGTCAAACATATCTCTCCTGCTGTGGCCTTCCTGCTTCAGAGCAAAGCGCAGGTTCCTCATGTCCTACAAAACAGGTAAGAGAGACAGGTAAGAGAGACGCAGAGAGCGGCATCAGTGAACATTGCAACCTTGGAGCAAACATTACCTTGCAGGTGATGTCAAGCCCGTAGGAGTTCTCTCCGCGACTTGTAGCCCCACCCACCTTCTCTATTCTACTGATCACCCCCAGAGGTACATCAAGGACCGATTTGTTCTCCTAGGACAAACAAGTCATGACATCACCAAACATATATTTCAATGGTACCTTTATTTATGCAGTACTTTTTAGCTATATAGCATATAGAAGTAGTACCTAAAAATGCACAGAAAAAACAAAAACTAGATAAAACAGTACAGATGCTCCTCTACTTATGAACTTTCAACTTACGAACTTTCAGACATACGAACGAAGACGGCTAAGTCAAAATTGTGTTCATTGGGCTCCCGTTTCCTGTCCGCAACATCAATATTTTTTTTTTCTGCGCTCCAATTCCGAGTAGTACGACTTCTGGTCGCTACTCCCGGCACGCAGCAGCATAGCGTGTGTTTTGTTGAGAAAGTGCAATAAGAATACTCTAATTGAAAGGAAGATTAAACTGGTATTTTTTTTTAGATGCTTCTAAATGCATGTCTTTGTGGACTTGCAGAATTACAACTAAATATGCAAAATAAGTGAGTCCTCAGAAAGGCCAAAGCAGAACATGAGGCATAAATTGAGACCACAACAATTTTAGAAACAGAACAGTCCAGCCATTATGACCTAATGCATCAAAACAGTCAGGTTCACATGGGTATGCAAGCCAGAGTGCCAAAAATTTGACAAATTGTTTCCCGGAGGTTGAACCTACTTGCACATATGGGAAGTTGCTGTCAATTAATGCTGTCATCTTATGACCTGTCTTATGTTCCAGAGCTGACATACATTCTGACACCTAAACCACACACAGGCTATGAACAGCCCCTTTAAATGTTCTAGTGCTGGTAACCGTGAGTTTTGCCAGTGCGATTTCAGTTTAAAAAGTGGCCTTCAGCTCACCGTTTTAGCTCCTCTCCCCCATACAAAGCGGCACAACTGACACTTACCATGTCCGTGCTCTTAAAGAAGAGTCTGTAGTTGGTGATGAAGACTTTCCCCTTGAGGGCACCGCTGAAGGGACACATGTAGATGATCTCTTTGTCTGTCAGGGGAGTGCATAACATATGAAGAAGTGCCAATGATGAGACTCACTCAAATATAAATTGAACTATAAATGTATTACAGCTTCATGCATGCAAATACATTATAAATGTATACAAGTAGAATGAAATCAGCATGATGATCTAAATAAAAAAAAGACCATGTTACACTAAGTCCTCTTTATTGCTGTGGCTTTGTCGACACAAGGGGTCTACTGAATTTTGTGAAGAAAAAAAAATATCACTTCCTCAAATGTCTTTTTTGTAAACCCACACTGCCGTGCTTATAGTCAAAATCTGCAGGACAATTTAAAATAATTTGTCGTTTATAAAATACTTTGAAGACATGAAAGGATACATGACGTTCACACATATCTCAGATGCCACGTATTGCAAACATTTCTCATGCCTGTGGAGCCATTTCTGCCTGTATTTTTTTAAGAGAATAAAAAAACAGACAGGCTGACAGAGACAGGGAGACAGTCCGTCTCTTTAAGAAAATGATGAGCTTAAAGATGAAGGTGAAGACCCACCTATCACTCTCTCCTCCCCAGGCAAAAGGGGCAAACCAGGCACTGGCTCCATTCTGAGAGACTCTCTTGACGGCTGCTTTCAGACAGAGAAGAAGAAAATGTTACTGACATGTGCTGATGCTCATGCAGAATTGCACGATTCACTTGGGAAGCTTAATTGGGAATCGAAGCTAATGGTAGAAATCAGGTGAAGGTATAATGACAAAATGCAGTGCAGCTTTATAAATTAGCAAATAGAGACAGGAAGGAGTGAAAGAAAGTGATGGATGGCAATTTAGGGTTTCCAGCTGGTGGAGCAGCATGCAATCTGTCTCGCAGACAGTCTATCCCAGGAATGATCCACCGCATGGTTAAAGGTCAGTGACCTGGAATGAGACCTGTCGTGTAGAGGGGCCATAGGGCAGGAAGAGCGAGGGCTCGTGGGTGCAGCCTCAGCGTGAAGGTGGGAGCACCGGTGGGTTTCCACGGCGGAGTCCTTCCAACTGTGGCGGGCAGCAGAGTGACGTCAAGAGAGCAAGAGGATGAGAGGAGGCAGAAAAAAAGGGGAGACAAGATAGACAGAGAGATACGGAGGGAGTGACGGCCCACAACCTAAGAGAGTTCCTGTGACTCCGGGCCAATGGCTGATTGAGACTGGGGGGTGGTAAGCACGGTTACTCTACTTCCAGCACCCTAAACGTCATGGAGGGACTGTGACTGAAGGGAAATGCCTCAGAGGTGGGGCTCCCTCAGCGTTGGCAAGGATCTATACCAGGGCTGCAAGGCCACAGGATGTTAATCCGAGAGCAGAATTGGAATAAAACGTTAATCATACATCGTCTGATGCACTAACTTGGACACATCATCAGTGTTGTTTTCTGGAGTCATTCGGCGTTTGGTGCCTTACGACAGACACCCTCTTCCATGCGACCCCATTGGTCAAGCCTCGGCCTGTGTGCAAATCGCATTTTGCGGTCCACAAATATAAAAACACCATCGGTATAAATAGGAAACACCTACACGTTATGGGAAATATGACTGACACGGCAGGTTTATCACATCAGCCATTAGCAATAGGAGACCAAAGAAAGTGACTCACGATAAACGGCAGAGAAGAACAAAGTTAATTAGAGATTTGTTAATTAGGATAAACTCCAGGCCAAGGAGTGCAAAGATGCTTGTGATTTCCCATTAGAGGCAAGGCAATAGGTTATAGTCATAGGCATTCGGAGGAGCAGGCACGCCCCCCCCCCCCCCCCCCCGAGAGTTGATTAGCAATTCAACATGCAGTTGAGAAATCAGGGGAAACCATTCCTCTGGAGCTATTGAGATTAAGGGCTTTGCTCAGGGAGCGTCCGGCCCAGAGGTCTAACCCACAGAGCCACACATCTCCCCATGACTCACGCTGCTGGGGCTGACCTCCGGCCCAGGGCTGGACACTGATCTAGAAGCCATGGATCAGGGCGCACTTCCAGGGGCCCTGGCAACACAGCCCAGGGGAGGAATCAATGAGAGCTCTGGGCACCAAACGATAAGGGAAGACAGGGGACATGACAGTCACCCCGATTAGCAACCAGCAGCATGACCAACACTACAAGTAGCCTTAGTCGGCACCGCAGGCTAAAACCCATTTAATTTGCTCAGATTATGTTAAAGTTATGGATTAAAAGTTGCTTGAAGAGGAACAATAACAGTTTCACTATTAGGATTTGAAACCAGAAACTTCTTGTGAACAATTCCAGTCACTTATGCACTATTCCTCCTACAACCTTTGCAGAGATGCCATCATCAGTAATCGGTATTTAGCTGTTTGAGCTAGACAGGATCTTGACTGGTCAGTGAAGGCTAACTGAGTAATTTGTGCTAAGGCTGTCAGCACGGTGGTCACTTTGTGTCATGCTGTACAGCACACATGCACACAAAACACTGAATGCCACACGTACTGTTCACTAGTGTGTCTATTCACGTGTCTTCATTGTTACCAAAATAATATCTTCTATCCACAACAACAATCAAAAAGTCTTTTTTTAACCGCAAGATGTGGGTACAACACGGTATCGGTAACTTGTGAGCTTGCATACATTTCGCCGCCCACCACTCAAAACCACAAAGGGTAGATAAATGTGCACCATCCTGTCAGTGAGCCCGACTTCTGATCGCGCAGAAACAGCTGTTTGCACTGGTGCAGCGCTGCTATATCTTACACTTAACGCCTCAGTGAGCACTGGGAGAAAAATATAAACCACGGAGACTCGCCCAGAACCACGGTTCCGCATGCGTCCACGTCGGGGACAATGCTGAGCTTAACTCGGCTTGTGGCCTTTGAGATCAGAAAAGCTTTTTAAATAAAGGCTACAATCATACAATAAATGGATCATAAAATTGATCATAAGATCTTACCAACTGCAAAAACTACAGTTGGCAGGTATGTCAAATTTTGACGGCTTGATTTCTTTTCGTTCGATTTACTTCCAAATTTTGGCCGGACTGGGATTTTGAATCGATGACCTTAATAGATTTTAGATTCCACTCTTTTCCATTATATATGGCTGCTAATTTACAAATTTAACATACTCGAACTTACCCAAGAATCTGTGAACGATGCACTAAATATTTATTATTACTGCAATTATTGATGTAACTATTAATAACAACAATAGTGGCATTCATTAAACATAAACCAAACACACGACACTACCTGTAAGCCAGTTGACAAAAACATAATACACAGTCAAAACGAAGAAAAGAACTAATAATAATCGATAAGGTGGCATAAAAAGCAAAGTACACAAATTATGCATTCACAATATTTTATTAATAAACATAAGACACAGCCCACAGGCTTTAATTTACTATCATTATCATTGTACAACAGGAAGCTGACTGCTAAAGTTAATGGATGCTAAAAACTACAGTTCAAAACAAATTACAGAATAAAGTTTAAACAACGACCGAGTTTCTAAGCTCCAAGGACCTACAAGCGATGAAAACATAGATTTACTGCTCATTCCATTTTAAGTCACTAAAAGGAAAGTCACGGAAGACGGATGCACTTGCAACCAATACACCATACTGGAAACGCGCTGTTACAGCTATTGAACGAGAAGGAGCTTATGTTTTTCGTGAAGAAAAATATTAAATTACTTTGTAAACTACAAACTTAAGAAACAGACCAAGTTTCAGAACCTAAGAGTTAGATATACACGTTCTGTAAAGTATCGAATGGGACGAGGAAACAGCACGGGCCCAGTTGTATAGTAGACAGCAGTCACGTTCCCGTTGTAACCCGATAAAGCTTTCGCTAGTTTTATCTATAATTTTCAAAAATTATTTCCACATAGTTAGTCTACAAACGTTCATACTCACCCCAAAATTGTATGATACGCTGTTCTTCCTAATCTTCTTCCAATGTTTTGCACGGCCGCTGGAAGAGCTCGCTGGAAGTCATGTGACTTTTTAGGTCGCACGGATTGGCTTACTGCTTGCGTGTTCTGGGGATATGTATTTTTGTTTCCGCACTTTCCATCCCCCTGCTAACCGTTCAATTTAAATATACACTCACCTAAAGGATTATTAGGAACACCATACTAATACGGTGTTTGACCCCCTTTC